TTACACCGGCCCTGTAATAAACATTTTTTGTTATTACAACTACAATGAATTCTTTAAGGCCAATAATGTATTCATGACCTACATTTTCAGCTTTGAGCTTTATTGACTTTCCACATGTCTTTTGGATATAAATCTACTGCACAGCTTCTAGCTATTTACTTGATGTGAACTTTTCACCTGACAATCTCATAAACCATACAATAAAGTCTATTCAACAAACCTTATCCTTCAGGTGTGGGAATATCTGACATGTCTGCTCCCACATCAAGTTTCCGATTGAGTCTCTGATGGTCTCGTAGTCCTCTCCACGTTTCATTACACGTTCATCCTCCCATTTCTTGAACCAGTTGTAATTAGCTAGAGTGACTAGAGTGCAGTTGGATTTGCCTGTTTGGTAAACATTATCATTTACTTATAATTGTGTGGAAACTTACTATGTAAGAATAATCAGTAACTTTGGTGTTTCAGATACTTGCCTATCAATCCCTGGGCCCTGGGTTCAAATCCTTTTAGATATCAGGATAATTATTCTTCAACAAATATAAAGCAACACTCTCTAAATGTTATAATGAAACTTACTTAATACAGCATCATAATATACATGTTATTTAAGAGTGCTTATGAATATAAACTGACCCTAGATAGGCCACAAGGGTCATTCTCAGCAAAACTTGTTTAGAGAAGTTATGGTAAAATAACTAAAAGCAAATAGTCATAAACAATCATGTACACTACTGTTGTTATACCTCTTTATACAAATTCATTCACTGTAACACTATCTATTTTATTGTGATATTTATTTCTTCTTATACTAAAGATTTACTTCATTGTCAATCAAACAATAATTTTACTCCCAAATGAACTCAGAATACTAGAATTAAAAGTACGCATCTTAACTGACAAGCAGCTTCACCACTTATACAAATAATGACAATGTACAATTATTTTAAAAGTTCTTATAAATTTTTGTATTACAGCTTTAAGTATGCAGAGAGGTAACTTTAATATAAGGCCTATATTTTAAACATGCAAATCATTCACCTGGCATTCGAGCATCCCAGGTGGTATCTTTAGCTGATGGAAATGAGATAAAGAGAAGTGGGATTTGATCTTTGGCTGAATCTTGCTGTGACCGTCCGATGTACTCATGGGCGACGGCGTCAACATCGTTGCTAGTGAATGACCACACTTGACCAGCTCTCAGATTTAACTCCTTGGACGTGCCCTTCAAACCAACAAACACGGACATCGCGCCAATGCCATGCCTTCCACCTTTGTATACGTCTTCAACCTCTGCAAAAATAATTGTTACAAATATTCATTTAATATAAAAAAAATGATTAAAATTTGAACAAATTCTTTTTCCCCTCACACTCCAAGTAGTGTGAGGAAAACATTTTGTGTTCTTTACAAGTTGTGCCTATTAAAGGTTAAAAAATAGTGAAAAACAACAAAAAAAAAACAGCTCCATACATCAAATCTGACTTGCATTGAATGAAATGTCAAAGGTAGTCATAAAATAATAACTTGATAACTTGAACTATGTAAAAATAAATATATAAAAACAATGTAGAGTATTTGAATAAACTTTAAAGTATTAAACAAATGCATGCATGCTGCAATTGGTTTAGAAACATGTTTTAAAAAACATGTTTGTAGTGCCTATGTAAATACATGACTGAAGAAACTTTAAAAATTAATCCTAAGAATACAAGGTTGTTTACATGGCTTGTTGTTCTGGGGAAATGTCAAAAAGTGACAAGTATTAAGCAGTAAATCACCCTGATTGCACTGATGCAGATCTGAAATGTATTCATGATGTATGTCAACAAATATCTGCTGATCCTGACGATACAATTAATCATTTCAATAGCTAATAGAAATATGTTCTAAAACTGGCTTGTTGTTAGGGAAGGTAAAAAGTGACAAGAATTGTGCAATAAATCACCCTACTTGCATAATGTATGTCAACAAATATACTGATCCTAGAT